GAAAAAGGTCAAACAAATCCGTTGAGCCTTTGGTGCTAAGCTAAAATCATTCGGTAATGGTTAGTATAATTTTATTACATTAAACGATCAATTCTTGTATATTTTAAAGATCCCTAATTCAAAAATATTTTTAATAGGGTTGCTACCTTTTTTGAATCGCATATTTGTGTAGTTTTTTGTTTAGAAAAAAAGGTAAAATATTACTATTCTTGGGTACCAAGCGAAGGTTCTTAAACAATGCTTTTCCTATATAAAAACTGTTATCCCTTAGGATAATAGTGTAAGGTTGACACGCTTGATTCTACGCAATTTATCTAAAACATAGCAATATGGATATCAGATGAAAGGTATTGTTGAGAACTGTGATCAGAAAATATTTTCCATCAGGATTGCCACGCTTCTATTTAAAAAAAAAAACTTTATTTTGTTATTTTCGATCAGCATTTTTTTATGTAAACACAGTACCTACATATACGCTCAAGATATGTACCATTCATTCCAGCGTATTTCGGAATAGGGTTGGAGTAAGAAATTTACTTAACAGATATCGAAATCCAATTTTTTTTATTTTCAATATATATATAATTATATGCACTCCGGGCAAAGCTCGGTCAACGTGGTACTTTTAAAGTCAAATATGTATACATATAATTAAATTTCTTTTTAAAGCTTTCCTACGCGAAACATGCTTCAGAGTTTCTTTCTCAAATACAGACTCCCCAGGAAACATTCAGTGTATGTTCTATTTAAGTGCAATCTTTGCTTTATCATCATATATATAAATAGGCAATCATGTTTCCTTTACACCCCTTTTACGGCTAAACTATACTTCTAAGGTATAAACAATTATATATCATTAGAAAGGTATTTTGATGCTGATGTGCAGGCAATTTTTAAAATTTCAAATTAGTTTAAAATAGAGCGAAAAAATCAATTCAAAAGTCACACCAATACCAATGCCATACATGTACATGGTTGGGGCGGAAATGCCCCCTAAATGTATGCTTTAATATTGATAGTGAATTAAAGAAACGTG